ATTTTTATAGCGCGATTGTACACGTCACATTCCGGTTTTTAAGGAGTTGGTAATAAGAATTTTAAACAAAATCTTAGAAAGAAGGCGAAAAATAAAAGAATAAAATTGATGCTATGTTTCTTTTTACTTCAATGAAGCATATTTATTTGCCTAAATAATAAGCTTTAACAGTAATACACAAGGGCCTCCTAATGCTTTTCTATCAAGGTTACTGAATTCCGGTTTTGACCCCTCGCCACCTTGTTTGGAAATCCTGTCAGACATGTCTTCCTTGTCACGTTTGTAGCCCTAATACCAGCTTGTGTTGGTCCTTATTCTAGTACCGAACATGTCCGAAATGATACTAGGCAAGGTTGAAAGAACATGTGGCTCTTCTTTTCATTACCACCTAAGCAGAACTTTCGGCTCATTGAATTACTATGTTCTCCACCATTGATACATGAGAATAAAACCAGTATCGTTTAATACTGAATATTTTATATACTTGTAATAATGTTGAAGTGGTCGATTTTTTAATGGAATTTAAGCCTTTTTATTCTTATTTTACTTCAAATTCATTGTTATGTAGATAACTCGAAGCCTTCGATAAAAAGCATGATCGTACTACGTAAAGAGCAATAATATTGTTATTGTTGTTGTTTTTTCTAGACATACTTGGACTTGATAGAATGAAGACTAAGCTGCAGTTAAAGAGAGAAAAAACTCGAGCGAAACTTACTGGCAACCGAAAGGAAAAATTCGTACAAGCTGCAATGAAGGTATGTCTGCGTTTGTATGCTTTCCGAAATGCAAATAGCATTGTTTATGAAAAATGCTTTATGGAAATGCACACGTGCACAGCATAGATGATTAATAATGTTATTGGGAAAATTCACAAAGTAATATTGTAATTATTTTTAATGGGAAATACACAAAGCAATGGTTTGATAAAGCAATGATGTAAAACATGTTGTAGAGAAATACTTAAATGAAGCCGTGTCATGACAAAACCAACATAATGCGTTTGCGACCAGCATGGATCCAGACCAGCCTGCGCATCCGCTGTCATGACGCGGCTCAAATAATGTTATAATATTTCTTATCGAGAAATACACAAAGCAATGTTATAATTCATGTAAATGGTAAATATAAATACATAGAGCATGAATACATAGAGCATGGGGAAATGTATGTGAAAACAATTTTCTAGTCAAAGCTGAAATAACTTTTTAAAGTCACTTTATAGTTTAATCAATATAACAGAACGCAACTGTAAAGTTTAATTTACTATTTTAATTCATAGTATATATAGTAAAAGTACTTTCCTATCGATCGATTGATCACTTTATTCAAATGTATTTGCTATTTATAAAGAAATTAAAGGCACACTCTATTCAGTTAAGGGTTACATTAAGTGCAAAATGTTTGTAAAAGTGCGTGGTCAATTAAATGATATATTTAGCATTATACACATGAATGTCAACCATAAGTTCAAATTTTTACTTAAACGCGTTTTATAAAAACCTTTCAATGTTTAATCTAATTTAAAGTGTTTTATAAATCGTATATTTTTGTTTGTATTTTGTGTTTAAGGTGCAAAATAAAGCCAAAAAATACGATGGACCTCGAACTGATCTTGATGAAATATACATGGGGAACGTGAATGTTGAATGTCCGTCCACTGCAAAAGTCGTCCGAATATTTACAAGCAGTACATTCACAGGTAAATTGTCGTCTGCTAAATGATTATCAGATCTTCAAATGATGAAAAATAACAGTCCCGTTTACTTATGGCTCGCTCCATTTTCGCCAAAGCTGCGGAATAGTCTATATTACTTTTCACATCATGATGGTCCGTCTGTACGGCGAAAGATTAAACCTTGTCCGACAGATAACCAGAGAACGCTTTATTGTACAATCCTGGAGGTTGGTCATGATGGTTAATAAGTCACATGCGTGGAAACGCGGTGACAGATTGTAACACTCTAAAATATATGTGCCTTGAGGATGCGTAATAATTTTTGGAGCAGCAAGCATTATTATTGTAAGATAAACTATAAATTTGCATGGTCCAAACTAATGATATTGGTAAATTCTGTTGACGTTGAGTTAAAATAATATTTAGATTAGAATACTTATTTGTTTTACCATTATAAATACGTTTAAGCATTAAACATTCAAGATAGATGTATGTTTATCGGTTACACTTATATTGCTCTAAAAAAATTTTTAATCTACTAAAATCAATGAAGAAAGTATAGTTTCTTCCAAAACTATGGATATGATAAAATTATGGTCTTCAAGATTGAAAAAAAAAATCAGAAAATCGTATAATGTTGTATTGTTTCTAACAGAATACAGGTCAACTCAAAGTATGGTTTTTGTTATAAATGAAAGGACATTAATTCAATTTTGAACTAAAAACACTTTAATCAACCTGCTTTTTTTAATCATAAAATATTTCTCTTTATTTAATAGACACAATGCACGAGAGGAATACACTCATGGAGAATGCGTACCCGAAGTTGAAGTCCTTCTGTCAAGAGCTTGGCTATGAGTTTCAGGTTGTCGACATGAGATGGGGTGTTCGGGACGAGGCGGCGGATGATCATATGACAACGGAAATCTGTCTGAAAGAACTGAAAATGTGCAAGAAATTATCAACTGGTCCAAACTTTGTCGTAGGTTCTATCAATATGTACTTTCATCAATAAATTAATCTTTCTTTGTTTTGATTTATTGACCAGATATTCCATATTCTGAAACTTGTGGTGGCTGATTTTTGTTGCTGAATACCTTTTAGAGTAAAAAGCCGTTTTATAAACTAAATTCTGCTGTACAGGAAAATATATATTTATCTTCTACACACATTTTTCAATCTCCAACGTTTGGAGGGGTTAAACCCCTCTTTATCAAGGAATTTATGATTCTTTTATAAATCACATATTTATCTTTTATCAAACGTTGGAGATTGAAAGATTTGTGTAGTAGATGTTTATTAATTAACTGTTTCCAGAATGAATTTAGAAAAAATATAGTAGCAGTGTTTTTGTCTTTGATATTCTTTGTAAATTATATTTTACCAGCGCACTGAAGGTCCTTCGTTCTACCAAGGTTGCTAACTTGCAACTTAGCTGAATCATAGGTCTTCCTCCACCATTAAATTTGGAAAAGTCCAATACGATCTTTACTGAGTCGGTGTAACGACAAAATACATGTATTATCTTATCTTATTACTTCAGTCACTGATGTCGCACAAATATGGCTACTCGGATTTTCCAAGATGTATAGATGCAGACAAATATGAGGAGATGTTAGAGCATATAGAATCAAAGGAAATGTTGGAGCTTTTAAACAAGTAAGCCCTCATCTTTTTTTTCATTGTTGCAACATTTCACCTTCTTTCATATAGACAAATTAACCTCCTTTATGTTACTTGTTTCAAATAAAGCAACTAAAGATTTCATGTAAAATGTTGAATTCTGCTTAAGCCGGTGTTAGTGGTATGAACGGAAGTTTTTTCCCACCACCATAAAGAGACTCAGTTAAACCGGGCTTGCAACATTTTTCAATTTTGCCGTTATGGGCGTTCTTTCGGGATTTAGTTTTTCTCTATCTTAAATCTTGATGTGTGAGATATGAATGAATATACCTCATTTTGTTTTTTTTTATACTTGCACCTTCTGTTCAAATGACATTTTCTGTTGATGTTGATTAATTATCTCTTGCACCTTCAGCGCCGTTGTATCAAATCTTGCCAGAATCGTACATATATTTCATATGAGAAAGATCCGCAGATGATCGGAGTTTCTACTAAGGTTTATAAGGACCAAGCCTGAAATAATGCACTGAGGGGAATCTTCGGTATTTCTTCATCAAAAAAATCTTCACTGGTCTTGAGGCAACTTAAACACAGTCCTTGTGTGACTTAAAAACAATTTAAAACATGTTTATATAAAACATTAATAAATATTCTAGTACTTCTCATATCGGAAAATTTGAAAGTCAATGTCGTTTATGGGAAAATGTTTTTTTCTCAAAATACATCAAAATGAAGTTCTGGGCTAAAATTATACTACATTTAAGTATAAAAAGCCTGTATATTATTGCATTGCTCAAACAAACAGACAAATTAAAGCCTGTATATTATTGCATTGCTCAAACAAACAGACAAATTAACAGACAAGCCGACACACACAAAAACAAACAGACAATAAGGGGGGGATATCAGCACTTTTAGGTGTGTACTTGTACAAAGAAACATACTGTAAATATCAAATACTGGGCTTTTGATGCAATTGTTATGTTGTTGTTCTTTAGTTTGTTTGACTGATTTTCTAATCATACGTTCTCTACGGGGTTTTCTTTATTACACAGATGGTATTCTAAAGATACGAACGCTATACCGCCTGTGTATGTCGTTCATCCAATAAGCTTCCACATACCGGACTTTGTTAGTCAGGATAAAGATAAGAAAAATGCCGCGAGAACCCAGTGGTGGTCTGAAAGCGAAGCCATACAAGCGGCACTAGAAGAAGTAGCGCAAAAACGATTCGACTCTGAGACTGCCAGAAAGTACATGCGTTCAGGTGATGACAAAATAATTCAATATCCAAGTATTTATCAAACAATTGACATAACATGGAAAGTGAAAAGCAAATTTTAGGTCCAGTTATTAAAGAAGAAGAAGAAGAAACTAAATATAAGACGTTATTGTAGCGGAACCCTTTTAGTGAATAAATAAAATATAAAATAAAGTTTATGTATGCCGTTTAATAAAATAACAGTGACGTGTCTACATAAGGCCTATTGGTTTTAGTCATGCTTTGGTAACGAGCACACTGATTTTTTCCTCGATATGGCACTGGACTAATACCCGTCTGTCCAGTACGGAAGCAAAATTAACAGTTGCAAATGAAGTGTTTATAGAGTTAAATAACTATATTCAGTATATTAATAAAACTATTGTATAAAATAACATGTAAAGCACGTGACTTTTCTTTAAACTGCAGTAACGGAAACGGAAGTGTATGGCGGTATTATAAACGCAGACGACATCAACAACACGTGCATTTGGTTGAAAAGAACGATTGAGGATATCGAAACAAAAGACAGTTCCTACATATTGTCACGTTACATAGGTATCATTGTTTTTGTTTGATTTAACAACCAGTTTTGAAAGTATTACAATTTATTAGTGTGCCAGTACCGGAAGATGTTTCAAAAGCAACTATTTTTTTCTAATCTCTGAACTATATTAGTTTTTCTGTCCAAAAAGAGAAAAATTTTATAGTAAACGTTTGAAACCGAGTTGAAAAACAAATGTTTTAATAATGTTTGTTCGGCAACTAAATTAAATAACTTGCTTTACAATTGTCGAATTTTTATCTTACCAGCTTTTAATTATGATTTTTAAAAGTGTTTGTACTTTGCTCAACCGAGGAAAATAATAAAATACTATTGCAATAATGTTAAATATTTTCCATGATTTTCATTTTAATTCATTTTCTTATAGTAACGAAATGATATTTAAGACATTGGGTTTGATAGTAGATGTGCGTTTTAAATTAATGACAAACATGCATTCCATAAAACCACATGTCTGGCATTATTATATTTGAGTTTTTTGTTGTTTTATTTTTATAATATTTCAGAATGCATACAAAATCTGAAGACAAAGTGAAAAAATCTCAGGAACTTCTGAACCAACTGAAGAACAAAATTGAACAGAAACTTCCGGCAGAAAACATCTTGGATTACAAAGTTACATGGAACAAAGAGAAAGGTCTGCTGTAATTTTATCGTTGTTTTTTTCCTGGCATGTTTATATTTAAGAATAATAATAACGCATTGCAATATATTTTCCTTTTACACATATATTTTATTAAAACTCTTAATCTTAAAGTTCAATAATTGAAGAAAAACAAAGACCATTTTTGAATTCTTCTTATAATCCACCAGGAATTGATCCAAACTCAGAAGAACACCGGAAATATCTTGTAAAGTTGTGTGACGATTTCGTATCGAAGATGTGCTCAATGATTCATACAGCTGTCCAGGCAAAGAAGAGAGCAGATGGACCGCTCATAGAAGAAATAGTTCAACATATTCAGTTCTCTCAGGATAAATGTAGACAGTTTCACGGACGCGACGATGTGTTTAAGGTAACGTAAGTTATTTCAATAACGGTTGCTATAAATATAAATATAAAAGGACAATATTATATAGAAATTAGTCAACAGAATGAATTATAAAATCACATATTGAACTTTTTTGTGGCAAGCATGGTATCAATGTCAATTGTCTATTACAGCAAATAAAGCGATATGTTCAGGGTATGAGTAATGAACCAATGGTATTATACGGCCCGTCCGGTTGTGGCAAAACATCCATAATGGCCATGGCAGCAAAACAATGTGCCGAATGGACGAATAACAAAGCTGCGGTTGTATTCAGGTAGGGTTTCTATTGTTTTTTTAGTTCGATGTGTTCGAAGAAAAATTTCGAGCTACTGCTACAGTATAATTGTCGTTCCAGTGCCGTCCGACCATTGCTTTCTTATTTCCTGATTGACTGTGTTCATTCTTGGACACAAAACATTCTTTAAGACAGGAATTTCATGTAGACGACGCTTAACTTGACCTTGACTCATAAAATTAATGACCTTGACATTCAAGAATTTTGATAGAAATTTGCTACAATTGGCTCTACTTTGGTATATATGAATGGATTGTCTTCATACTCGGAAAATATATTACTTTGGACAAGACCTTCAAGAACACTAAAGTTATTTTGATCTATGCTCATCAATGACATTCGCTTCCATGGTCAAGTTATGGACTTTTGCTTGATCATTGCATTCGACTTACTATACTTTTGTTATTTTCTAATGGATTTTCTTCACTAACTTAAAAACAATGCCCTAGAGATCAATTTGACCTTAAACTCATCACCATCACTGACATTGACCTTGGGGAACAAATTATTGTATTTTTGCATAATTTCACAGGTTTTTGTTTTTGCTATGATTGACTATAACTTTGTAAGTTTTGAAATTTCGCATAACAGTCCTTTGAACAATCCATTAAAAAGTTTCATTGAACTTGAACTTGACCTTAATTTGACATTGACACTAAAGGTCAATAAAGGTCAATTACTGAATTTTCCTTCAATTGGCCAAAAAATATTATTTATTTATTCATGGATTTTTTAAAACAAAACTGACATATTGAGTATTTAAATTTGCCCTTAACCTATAAATGAATTTGCCCGTCAAGGTCAAATTATTTAAATATGCTTAAACTATTTTAAGGATTCATTTTTCATATCTGAACAAAAACACATTTGACAAGACCGACATGTTGATTTATTTTAATTTGACGTTGACCTATTAAAAATTGCTTAAATTTTCATTTCTTATTTTTAATGCCCTCACAAAGTGGGAGCATATAGCGTTGCACTTGGCCGTCCGTCCGTCCGTCAGAGCAAACATTTTGGGTTTAGGGGCTATATAACAGTAAAGACAACAAAAGAGAACAATAGGTTCATTCCGTGATTAAAGGGTTTATGGGCTAGAAGCCCTTAAGAAAACAAAGAAAATAACAAAGAAAATAGCCCCTAAACCCAAAATGTTGGAACGTCCGTCCGTCCGTACGTCCCGAAATCTTGTGAACGCAACTTCTCTTAAACCGGATGGCAGATTTTGCTTAAACTTCAAGGGATGTACAACCTTAATGTGTAGATGGTATTAAAGGAAGGAATATACGCTGCGACCAAATTTAACAGAATTATAGCCTTTTGTTGATTTTTTCACTATATACTATGTAGAAATTTTGTGAACGCAACTCCTCTTAAACCGGATGGCAGATTTTGCTTAAACTTCCAGGGATGAAAAACCTTAATGTGTAGATGGTAGTAAAGGAAGAAATTTTTGCTGCGACCAAATTTAACAGAATTATGGCCCTTTTTTGATTTTTCACTATATACCATATAGAAACTTTGTGAACGCAACTCCTCTTTAACCGGATGGCAGATTTTGCTTAAACTTCAAGGGATGAACAACCTTAATGTGTGGATGGAAGTAAAGGAAGGAATTTTTGCTGCGACCAAATTTAACAGAATTATGGCCCTTTGTTGATTTTTTCACTATATACCATTGTTACAACCCGTTTTGTAATAAAGTTGCAAATTGTAATAATTATTACAAAACGGGTTGAAAAGTTTATTACAATTTGAAATTTTCCGCACAACCCGTTTTGTAATAAAGTTGCAAATTGTAATAATTTATCAATAGAAGTCAAAAGTCAATTGTACCCAATAATATAAGTTCATTTTCAGGAATATCATATAATTTTAAGTAACACATACATGTGACCTACTTTATTGCCAAAGTTACTATTATTAATTAATATTTCATTAAAATAAGCATTTTTTCAGTAAATAATGACAAATATATCATTTTTATGCAAATTGTAACATTTATTACAAAACGGGTTGAAAAGTTTATTACAATTTGAAATTTTCCGCACAACCCGTTTTGTAATAAAGTTGCAAATTGTAATAAAATATCAATAGAAGTCAAAAGTCAATTTCACCCAATAATATAAGTTCATTTTCAGGAATATCATATAATTTTAAGTAACACATACATGTGACCTGCTTTATTGCTAAAGTTACTATTATTAATATTTCATTAAAATAAGCATTATTTTAGTAAATAATGACAAATATATCATTTTTATGCAAATTGTAACATTTATTACAAAACGGGTTGAAAAGTTTATTACAATTTGAAATTTTCCGCACAACCCGTTTTGTAATAAAATTGCAAATTGTAATAAAATATCAATAGAAGTCAAAAGTCAATTTTACCCAATAATATAAGTTCATATTCAGAAATATCATATAATATTAAGTAACACATATATCTGACCTACTTTATTTCAAAGTTACTTTAATTAATATTTCATTAAAATAAGCATTATTTCAGTAAATAATGACAAATATATCATTTCTGATGCAAATTGTAACATTTATTACAAAACGGGTTGAAAAGTTTATTACAATTTGAAATTTTCCGCACAACCCGTTTTGTAATAAAGTTGCAAATTGTAATAAACTATCAACAGAAGTCAAAAGTCAATTGTACCCAATAATATAAGTTCATCTTCTGAAATATCATATAATATTAAGTAACACATACATGTGACCTACTTTATTTCAAAGTTACTTTAATTAATATTTCATTTAAATAAGCATTATTTCAGTAAATAATGACAAATATATCATTTCTGATGCAAATTGTAACATTTATTACAAAACGGGTTGAAAAGTTTATTACAATTTGAAATTTTCCGCACAACCCGTTTTGTAATAAAGTTGCAAATTGTAATAATTTATCAATAGAAGTCAAAAGTCAATTTCACCCAATAATATAAGTTCATTTTCAGGAATATCATATAATTTTAAGTAACACATACATGTGACCTACTTTATTGCTAAAGTTACTATTATTAATATTTCATTAAAATAAGCATTATTTCAGTAAATAATGACAAATATATCATTTCTGATGCAAATTGTAACATTTATTACAAAACGGGTTGAAAAGTTTATTACAATTTGAAATTTTCCGCACAACCCGTTTTGTAATAAAGTTGCAAATTGTAATAAACTATCAATAGAAGTCAAAAGTCAATTTTACCCAATAATATAAGTTCATCTTCAGAAGTATCATATACTATTAAGTAACACATACATCTGACCTACTTTATTTCAAAGTTACTTTAATTAATATTTCATTAAAATAAGCATTATTTCAGTAAATAATGACAAATATATCATTTCTGATGCAAATTGTAACATTTATTACAAAACGGGTTGAAAAGTTTATTACAATTTGAAATTTTCCGCACAACCCGTTTTGTAATAAAGTTGCAAATTGTAATAAACTATCAATAGAAGTCAAAAGTCAATTTTACCCAATAATATAAGTTCATCTTCAGAAATATCATATAATATTAAGTAACACATACATCTGACCTACTTTATTGCTAAAGTTACTATTATTAATATTTCATTAAAATAAGCATTATTTCAGTAAATAATGACAAATATATCATTTCTGATGCAAATTGTAACATTTATTACAAAACGGGTTGAAAAGTTTATTACAATTTGAAATTTTCCGCACAACCCGTTTTGTAATAAAGTTGCAAATTGTAATAAACTATCAATAGAAGTCAAAAGTCAATTGTACCCAAAAATATAAGTTCATCTTCAGAAATATCATATAATATTAAGTAACACATACATCTGACCTACTTTATTTCAAAGTTACTTTAATTAATATTTCATTAAAATAAGCATTATTTCAGTAAATAATGACAAATATATCATTTCTGATGCAAATTGTAACATTTATTACAAAACGGGTTGAAAAGTTTATTACAATTTGAAATTTTCCGCACAACCCGTTTTGTAATAAAGTTGCAAATTGTAATAAACTATCAACAGAAGTCAAAAGTCAATTGTACCCAATTATATAAGTTCATCTTCGGAAATATCATATAATATTAAGTAACACATACATCTGACCTACTTTATTTCAAAGTTACTTTAATTAATATTTCATTAAAATAAGCATTATTTCAGTAAATAATGACAAATATATCATTTCTGATGCAAATTGTAACATTTATTACAAAACGGGTTGAAAAGTTTATTACAATTTGAAATTTTCCGCACAACCCGTTTTGTAATAAAGTTGCAAATTGTAATAAACTATCAATAGAAGTCAAAAGTCAATTTTACCCAATAATATAAGTTCATCTTCAGAAATATCATATACTATTAAGTAACACATACATCTGACCTACTTTATTTCAAAGTTACTTTAATTAATATTTCAATAAAATAAGCATTATTTCAGTAAATAATGACAAATATATCATTTCTGATGCAAATTGTAACATTTATTACAAAACGGGTTAAAAAGTTTATTACAATTTGAAATTTTCCGCACAACCCGTTTTGTAATAAAGTTGCAAATTGTAATAAACTATCAACAGAAGTCAAAAGTCAATTGTACCCAATAATATAAGTTCATCTTCAGAAATATCATATAATATTAAGTAACACATACATCTGACCTACTTTATTTCAAAGTTACTTTAATTAATATTTCATTAAAATAAGCATTATTTCAGTAAATAATGACAAATATATCATTTCTGATGCAAATTGTAACATTTATTACAAAACGGGTTGAAAAGTTTATTACAATTTGAAATTTTCCGCACAACCCGTTTTGTAATAAAGTTGCAAATTGTAATAATTTATCAATAGAAGTCAAAAGTCAATTTTACCCAATAATATAAGTTCATTTTCAGGAATATCATATAATTTTAAGTAACACATACATGTGACCTACTTTATTGCTAAAGTTACTTTTATTAATAT